AACCGGAAATTCAACATGAACGTTTGACTTCACAAATTTCCCATGTTTTAATTATTAGCAACTGTAACTAGAACAAGATTTTGAGTGCCTACAACAACAATTCCTAAGGACTCCTAAGAAATATTATCACAGAGAAAGTGTCGAGGCATGCTCGTCTTTCGATACTATCTTTTCTGTTTTCTGTTGATCGCCAATGTCCGGTGGTAAAAAATTTCGGCAGTTTCTGGCGCCAAACCCACGCACTGACAATGGTACCATTGAATAATGCAATCGTCACAAGCAATCATTGATTAACTCCCATTACCATTACAAATACAAAATTCACGATATTTCATCAGTTCTTCTTCAATCAATGTTATATCTGACAATTTTCCATTAAAGTTCGCCATTTTCAATGTTGTACATGCGAGGTACGACTATCGCTTCCGAACATGCTCCGAATATTACCGAATGCTCGAGATTAGCATAACCCATTGTACGAAGGTGCTAAAAGCTAACAAGAACAATGTTTGTGAACAAACATTGACAAACGATCATGGGGTAAAGCTAAAACAATAGCGTTGTGGCTCCTTCCGTTAGTACCTTCCATGGACCGAAGCACTTCATAACTAGAAGGCATTATTAATAGGAATGGTGTATAGTTTATTGACTTTGGTGGAATAAACTTTTACTGCGATGCACTGAAATATTAACATACTTATTCATTGTTGCAATGTACATACTAACATAGCTCTATGAAATCGACTACAATGTACATTACCTTAGCATCAGCTGAGTCCCCAGTAAGATAATCTAGAAATCCCTTCATCATCCAACTAGCAGGTGTCTCTCCAGGATGTACCCTAGCTGTGAGGATCACAGCACGTTTACTCTGAAAATAACAAATATCAGACAGTTTTCACTGTAGAAGCATAGGTACCAGAGATATAAAGTGACAAACAGATTGTACATGTGATCATTGGAGGTTTCAGAATGTGCATGCACTGTTAACATGTGCACAGTCAGCAATATTGGCTTAGAACACATATGTAGAGAACAAAGTTATAATATCAACATTACAGACCTTGTCAATTACGGAAAATCTAAGACTAAAATCACACAATTTTTCAATGGTTATGTGATAAAGATGTATTTTTCAGTTTCAGACTTTCAACAACTGATTTTGTCAGTTTTCTGATAACCCGTGATTAACAGAAAACCTAGAAACTACAAATTTCCTGCAATCAGCGAGGTTTAAAAAGCTAGTTTCACAACTGCCTTCTTTATACATCCTGAGCCACTTCGGCAGCCCAACATTTGATTTTCACTACTCAATTGCCCCTCAGCAAAATTATTTAAAACATAAAAACAGAGAATAAAAGGGGTTAGGGGTACTACACATACTTGTATTCTCTAGCAAATCAAATGTCAGCTAACAATAATTTTGAATTTCCACCCCTGTCAGTAAAAATCTGAGTAAAATAGTTTTTGTAATAATGAATTTATGGTTCACCATGTACTAGAATACAATAAAAGAGAATGATAATCAAAGAAAGCTTAGAAAGAACTCCCATGTGCTGAGAGTATTGGAGACACATTAAATATAATTCGAAATTACTTAGCTGAAAACTAATTATGCAAATCAGAAAATTAATATGACCAGATTTGAGTGTAAAACTAATGAGGTCTGCGCAATGTAACAGAAAATCTATGTCTCCAAGTTTAATTGAAATGTGATTAGAACCAAAAAATTATGAATTATTATGCTTATTAGGGAATTAATATGAACAGATTTTTACCCC